AGTACCGCAGGTGATTCAGCCGCTCGCTGTTCCGACGAAGCAGATCGGGGGGGTGTTTGGCGGAAAAGGTCATAGTCTGGCAAGTCGTAGTGTCGCACGCACCGGCACATGGTTGACATGATGTCCTTGCAGAGCACAGAAATCTGCGCAGCTTGCGCACCCAACATGTATGACCTTCACCCGTTACGCTGAGCTCATCGTCGAAATGGAATATTCATGTGTACAATTAATTGCCCTCCAACAATCGCAGATAAATACAACGTTCTAGTTCATGAACAAGCATACGATTAAGAGGTAGGGGCTTGAACTCGTGCAACCAATGCATCGTACTTCTCGGGTGACGACCGTGGGCAGACTTGCCGAAGAAACAGCTACCTCTAATAATGTGCGCTGGCAACATGTGTACAATGCGTCTACCCATCTACTGTCCAATTGCCTGAACTGCGCCCCCGGGCACATAATGTTGTTTCCTTGTGGTTGTGACAGGCAAGCCGTCAGTATCGTTCCCATCAGTTCTTGTCTCCCTCATTCCGTCTGTCTGTCTGTCTATCTGTTTCTCTCTGTCTGTCTCTCTCTCTTGCAACCATTACATACCTTGCTGAACATGCGTCCATAGGGTATGTTTGCGGTTCGGGTGCGACGAGCCCAACGGAGGCGGTGTGCGGCGGTGACGGTGACATGTTCTGTCCGGAAGGGTCTTCTACTTCCAGCAAGGTAGCGCCTACGCATCGTCGGCGGTGCGGTCGTCAGCGATGCGAGGAAAACAATTCGCTTCAACCGAAGCACTTCGTGTCTAGCAGCTTGATCGGCGCGAAAACAGGCGCGCGTTTCAGACAATGCTCCATAATCGATTAAAGAAATCCATCATCGACGACATTACGCAGTCACGAAAATACACATTCATTTATTAAGGCTGGATGTCCATCGTTCGAGCTCCTGAGCGCCTCCTCCGTGCCTTCACTGGCCGTGAGCCCTTGTCCCGAAAGTGCCTGTTTGGATGTCATGTAGGTGCCATAAACGGCCGTTACTCTTAACAACTAACAAGTTGGTCAGGGGCCGAAAGTGTTTTCTCTGATCTGCGAGAGGGAGCGAACATCACGCCCATGGGAACACACGATGGCTGTCCTCTCCGCACCGTATCACAGGTGAATGAAGGCCACTACACCGTCGGAGGCGATGCCACTCTCCTGATGGAGGCCGTCATCACCACAACAGCGGGCACGATAGCTGTTGCAGGAAACAACCAAACGACGGCAGAACAAGTCGAGGCCGACCCGTCCCTCACCTCGACCCGCTCCGCGGAGAGACTCTGCGAGCCGGGGTTTTGGTGCGAGGCGGGGTTTCGATATCTCTGCGAGGCGGGCGCCTACGGGAGCGACTTCGGTGCGACACGGGGAAACTGCTCCGGCTTCTGCGAGGCGGGGTTCGTTTGCCGAAACGGCAGCGTCTCCCCCGAGGAGAACCCTTGCGGGGTGAGCGATGAAGCCTAGCGCAGTAAGCGTTGCGGGCGGCAATCGCCTCGACACCACCCCGGAGGTCCCGAATGTAGGAAGGCGGTGCAGCTGACGGCCCTGTGATGTTTCCGGGTATTTCACAAGATTTTGTCGGGGAGAGGATTTGATTTCGTCAATACGAACATAAACTATGGCATTCTCCTGCGCTCTCGAATCGGAGAGTGTTCTCATAACCGGTTGGTAACGTTGTATCAACGTTGTGTACCCGTTTGTCTCCCAGGACTCGAGCGTGTACTGCCCCGGGGCGAATTCGGAGCCTGTGAAGGTCTCCGTGGGATACTACTCTGTCGGCGGGAGTGGGCCCACGACCAGGACCGGCCAGGTCTACAGCAGTTCGTTGAATGCCGTAGGAGTGCGACCGATCGCACCACGCCGCTTGATACTGAAAGTACCATGCGCTGTACAACCAAACGAGGGCACTGAAACCGACCGATGGCCGCGTGCAAAGTTCTCGACGTGATTGTTCCAAAGCGATCTCTTTCGGTTTTGGCATCTTCTTGGTTGTGAACCAATGCAGCTGTGGTAGTTGGTCTAGGGGAGGGGGGCGATCACTCGCATTTCTACGGTGCAGTATGTCCATTTTACTCCGTTTGTTTTTCGTCGTCCTCTTCCCGTAATGTGGGCCTTGACACTGTTGGCCGCACGCAATTCTAGCACCGTAACGCCGACCTCGAAACGGGGCTCGTCTGGGATGCAATGTTTTCTTTCAAGCTTGGCGGGGCACACGGTCGTGCAACCTTGCCCAGAACCTTTGGTAGTACGTACTCTGCGTTTAGGCCCTCCTCTACGTGTCTTCCGTCCGAACATGGTTTGCGGGAATTGTTTCTACTTCCACCACCATCAATACTACTCCGCTTCTACTTCTACTATGCATGTTGTTGCCACATCTACAACCTCCACAGCTACTGCTACCATGACGACAACGCCAGGTCTCCGGAAAACTTTAGAACCCCCCCCCCTACCCACAACGAACAGACTGATTTTACGCTCCGGCGACCGCCCTTTCCCCGTTCCCGAACGCCGAACTCAACACTCTCCGGGCAGGAGCTGTCACCTCCAGGCAGCTATGCCGACCAGGGAATTCTGTACACTTGCCCCGCCGGTGTTTTCGGCGCTTCCCACGGGCTGTCGTCCCCTCTTTGTTCGGGGCCTTGCTCCATGGGTTTCTACTGTGAACCCGGGAGCGTGAGCCCGAGGGAGCGGGTGTGCGGAGGCCCATCTCGGATGTGCCCCGCTGGGTCCGGTTGGCCGATCATGGTCGACAGCGGGTAAGGGGGACGACGACTGACGCTGTTGTCTCTCATCGTTTTATATTGGTTTGCCTCCACACACTTTGCGTCTCTCTCTCTCTGTGCCTCTGCCTCTTTGACATCCTCTCTCTGGCCAAACCATACTGAGAATTCAAAGAATGTGACTTCGGAAGCAGCGGGTTTGGCGGGGTGTGCATGCGTGCGTGTGACCGTGCACGTGCAATGCCAGCCTACTGTAGGTATCTTTGCGGCAGCTACCTTGCGTAAGCAGATCGTGTGCACGCAACCGAGCCCTCGGCTATAATGACGCGAGGCTACCATGGAGTGCATGCCAAGTGCTTGTTAGTACAGTAGGTGGTTTGTGGTCCTGGGAGTACTCTCTCAACAGCCGATGTGGGCATCTCCACCAAACTGTGCTATAAACTGCATGTCGCAGGCACTACACGACGGACTACGCCACCGTTCCGGACGAGGAGGCTTGCCCGCCGGGGATGTTCAGGAACGGCTCTTACCCTTTCGACACAGGCGAGAAAATAAGACGGCTTGGAATGCTGGGGGGTTTTGATCTATTCCGCCGAATGGGATATGGGGGGAGGTTGGCCGATTTCTCAGCCGTATCCGCTGTTTCAACTAATACAGTGTTTCTGACGAAAACGATTTTGAAGAGCGGCGGGGAATTACGTATTCGACGCCGCTATCCGGATCGGGCCGGTGGCCGCGTGCTTACGGGCAAGGGGGGCTGGACAGCTAGACAAGGGAACAAGAACCAGTCAAACAAGAAGGCGACCAAATTAGCGAGCCTGAGTCGTAGACGCCCTCCCCTCGCCCCATCCCCCGCCCCTCTCGTGCCCTGGACGCGATGGTGACAATGAATATGAGCAGACCCGACAAGAGGCGAAGAATCCGCCATTACTACGGCGATTCCTTTGCCGCCGTGTCAACTCTGCCCGGAGGGGACATTCAAGGCCGTCACCGGAGACAGCCTGGCCCTCTGCCTGCCGTGCGACGAGCACACGGCGGAGAGCATCGAGGCGCGGACAAGGTGACTACGCTATTAGCTTGTGGGGAAGTGTAGACCTTTTGGCATAGTCATAGTCGCGTTCACATTGGCTTGACGCCCGGCCAACATTATTTGTAGAACACTACGGAGAAGCACTTTACCTCGGCAATGCGAAGATGCAAGACCTAATTGGAACCACATAGAGTTAACTGTGTCCCCTTCGGCCATCGTTGCCTCCTTCTTCTCGAGATGGCGCGTCCCGTAGTACCAGCAACGTATCGCTCCAACATATCACCCACTCGTTCGCCCGACCTCTTCCCCCACCCCCCGTTTTTGCTCCCCAGTTGCGTGTGTCGACGGATAGCGGGAGGGGACGTGAGCGCAACCATGCTCTACTTCAACACCACGACTTCCGCTTGTCAAAACGTCACGGCAAGCTTCCGCCCGTCGGCGGAGGCTGGCCTGGTGGAGTCGACCTTCACGCGATACTCTCAGGCAGAGGTGACAGACGGTTGTCGGTTTTGCGTACGAATCGCGAAGTGCACGGGAAGAGCACCTGTACAGTACAGCAGGAGCAGTAGCGACGTCATATCGCATCGTTGCCACGAGAGGTATGGGAGGCCGATCGGAGAGCGAAGGGAATCTTTGACAGTGTTTAGTAGTTACACTGAGAGACTACGGCGGTAGCGATGCCTTTTCAATTCAATCTGTCTCGAACCGAGGGGCACCGTGAGTGCGATCGACGACGGCCCTCTAGTTGCAACAACGTTAAGGCAAGAACCCCATTTTCGCCCCCTGTTGGCTTCGCCTCGCGCTCGACACCTTCTATAGTGTGAGCCGGGACACTTCTGCGTCGGCGGTGTTCGATTTCCGTGCCCGGGTGGCCGCTTCGGCGCAAGCGCTAGAGAAGTTCGGCCGCAGTGCCAGGGGGAGTGCGCGGGAGGGTGGTACTGTCCGGAGGGCAGTGTTTCTGCGAACCAGGTGACTTTCTTGCGTGATGTTTCGAAGCAAGTGGTGCACGGACGTGATAGGTCTTAACCTTTTCTGTATGCAATTTTTTTGGGATCGTAGAACTCATTGCAATGCAGGGTTAGATACGCGTGGCTGGCGTCCGCACTGGCAGGGGACAGGAGAAGCGTTCACCGTGAAATTGTAACGCCGACAAAAGACAACTACTCTTTCGCGGGAGATTGTGTCGCGTCCGGACGTGACCGTGTGTGGGACCCCGCTCTTCGCATGTCTTTGGGGGAGGGTCGTTCGGCCAACCGTCATGAGTCTGATGAAGTTCTCGGCTTACCTGAAGGAGGCTGCCTTTCGCCGGCAAGCCGTCCGTACGGGTAAGGGTGCAAACGTCCAGTGAAGAAAGGTGCTACAGAGTAGATTCAGCCTATCGCTGGCTTTCCACAGAGACTAGGCGGAGCGGGCACGACGTACGCGAAAAAGCTGCAGAAATGGTGATGCTCTGATGAACACCCGCCAATTGCACCTGTGAACGCCCCCAGTCCAAAACACATACATTACAACGCTAAACCATAACAAGCCCTCCGCTTTCCCGATACACCGGGTCTTTTCCACCGTCGTTAGTCTCACTCGTATCAAACTCCACCGCGACCCCCCCCCCCCCCCTCGTTCCTTTCAGGTGCCCTGCGGCGCCGCCAACCTGTACTGCCCCGCCCGGAGTATCGCACCGACCTTCGTGGAGTCGGGTTTCTACACAACGGGCAACCACGATGCCAGCTACGGCTTGCACACACCGGGGACCGCCAGCGCGTTCCCGAGCTCCGACTCTGGTACCACTGGCGTCGGTGGAAGGGACGAAGGGGCCGGGGCGAAGCGGCCGGACGATGATCGAGGGGCAGCCTTCAGGAGCGGCGTCGCGGTGTGTCCCGCCGGGTGGTACTGCACTGGGGACGGGGCGGGGAGCAAGTGTCCGCCCGGTGTCTACGGTGGTGAGGTGGGTGGACGAGAAAACGCGCGAGAGCGATGCAGTGATGATGTCCATCGGCGGCTAGTAACGGGGGCGGGGGTATGGTGGGGACGGCAGGGAGGGGGGGTGGAACAAGGTTTGGTACGGCGTGGTTTCATGGGGTGCGCACTCCTTCACCCTCACGCCCACTTGAGGCATTGCTGGACAGGAGAGGCAAGCAACGCAAGTCTTTTGGGTTTGTTTTTGCCCCGCGGACCTTGGAGCTACTCTCGCGAAATGTGTTCTCCCCCACCCATGCTCCCGTTTCATTTACACGTGTTAAAATATGCTCCCCATGGTTCTTTAAGCTCCCTCCCCCCCCGCTCCGCAGACAAGGCACAATCCCAGCACAAAATCCCAGCATTTCCTCCCCGCCGCCTCCCCGTGCCCCCTCTCCAACAAACGACCGCTTTGAACAGGTAGGACTGAGCGACCCGGCGTGCTCTGGGGTCTGCGCGGCGGGGTTTGTGTGTCCCGAGGGCAGCACGTCCCCGTTCCAGAGCAAGTGCGGTGGCCTAGGCTTGTACTGTCCGGTGGGGTCATCTTCTCCGTCGCAGGTCTTAGTCGGGTACTACGGTGCCCACACCGGCGTGGATGCCGGCCTTCAGGTGACCAAGCCGCGGAACATCTTGGCAAAAGGGTACAAAACACGACGCGATCATGAAGACTTGGTTGGTGTTTTCGGTGGAGGCTAGCGTTGCTCTATACTGCAGTAGTTGGCCTTCGTGAAAGCACAACAGCACAAGGAACGATAGTTTGGTGTGGACATCAGACTCCCGATAGTCTTTCTCGACGCGAGGAGCCGAAGGCAGTAATGAGTTGATGGTCCATGGCTAGTATCAAACACTCGAATAACGTTGGTTCACGGAAACGATTGGCGAAATAAACACGCCTGCTCCATTGGACATTCATCGGGTATCATGTGATACTCCAAACGACCGGACTTATCTAAGTTTTGTCGTCCGGGTCGCAGCCGACCTAAGAGTGTGGAGCGCGACATCCTTTTGTGGTGATGTTGGCTTGCATGAGCGCCGGGAGAACTTCCAATTGGAAGGTGTGTCTGTGAATGTGGTTGGTGGCGCGACGACAGACTTACGGATTCGACTGAAGGTGGACAATAAGGGTCGAGAATGCAGGATAAAACCCTCCCTGCGTTGCCTCAGCATCCGTTGTATTCTCTCTTGGTTGCATTTGAAAGAGTGTGCATCGCACAATACAAATTATTCAATGTGTTGCCCAAGAGGACACCTATCGTTCACCTCGGGCCAGACGCCGCCCGCCCCCCCTTCCCATCTCAATTCCCCAAACCAACCAATGATAACCTGATGCACGGCGGGGTTCGATTGATAATCTTGATACCCTTGTCGGTTCTCTCTCAAGCAGGCCGCCAGGGACCCATTGAACGAGACGCACAGCGCTCAGGTGCTGTGCGAGCCAGGATTTTTCTGCGAGAAGGGGCGGAAGGAACCGTGCCCTGCAGGAACCTTCCAGTGGAAGTACGGGGAGTCTTCTCGAGGGTCGTGTTTGCCGTGCAAGGTACAGAAAACGGACGCGACACGAATGCCTCTGCCACCCCTCCCCCCGCCAATCAGCACCGTTCCAGAAAAAACACCTCGTCGCATATTTATACCCAGGCGCTGGGTCGATTGTTGGTGTGCGTGTTGGCCTGTGTTTCCCCCCGGCAGACAAGAAGAGTTCGGGTACGGACAAAATACGCCAACCCTTGCTCACCGTGGATGTACTTCATTAACGCCATGAATGATTGTCCTATATGTCAGACCCTACAGACTCCGAACCCGCCCCTCTTGCCGGATTTCGTGATGAATACCAAGGCGGGATATTACTGCCCGCCGGGAGAGAGCGCCAGCCCCAGCCGTGACGCCACCCTTGTTGCCTGCGGAAACCCAACCGTGTTCTGTCCCGAGGGGAGCGTAGAGCCCGTACCAGTTCGCGCTGGGTTTTACTCTGTGGGCGGAGGTTCAGAAGGCACCACTCGGGTCTCTCAGGTGAGCCTGGGCCACATCCCGGGGAGGGGGGTCGTACATTTTCTGGGCCGTGTGCTTCGAAGTGTGGGGCGGAAGGCACGCTCAGCTGGTGGGTCGGGGGAAGTGTCCCCCGCCATATGTACGGCTGTAGAGCCCGTGACCTCTGTAGCTCGGTGTAGATGACCGAAAAGAGGACAACGAAGCTTGTCTTTTCTTGCACTGTACGGTTCACCGCTTCGCTGCCGGCATGCTGGGAAACATTGAGGGATTCCAACCGGAGGGGTTTGGGCGACGAGAGATGTATGTCAGCTTGACTTCCTACATAGTGGCCGAAACGTTTGGAGTCGCCACAACTTTTTCTGGGGCTACATTCGATGGCTGACGTACTCCGTGGAGGCGTGCCACTGCTTATTTGTTGATCTTGGCTCTGCTTCGGAAAGGTGTTCCGAGAAGACGAATTCTCAGCGGCAAATGTTTCGGTGATTCACGCCCCTTGCAGGCGTCCACCACCCAGCTAACCCCTTAGCTCCTACGATGCCGACCCGTTGCTTGGCACGCCATTGTCTCATCATTTCTAACTCCCGGTCAAAGGTGCTGTGCGAGGCCGGCTACTACTGCCAAGACGCAGCCCGGAAGCTCTGCCCAGCGGGCACCTACGGCTCCTCAGCGGGTTTACGTGACGAAGGCTGCACAGGCGTGTGCCCCCCCGGGGCGGCTTGTGCCGAAGGGACCGTAGATCCGACTCCTTGCGAGGAGGGGTACTACGCCACAGGGGGCGCCGTGGCGTGTAACGCGTGTCCTGGGAAGAGAGTGACCGGGCTCGAGGGCGAGAGGTGCAGAACTTCCCGGAGTTGTTGTACGTGATTGGGTGGTTGGCTTTGCCCGGGGTTTCCCAGTTGCTCACGTTTCGCAAGAAGAGGGGATGGCCGGCAGGGTCTTCATTCCGCGCCAACTTTTGGCCAAGTCTTGGATATTTCCGGGGTTTCCGTACTCTGGCTTTGAAAATGTGTTGTCTACACCTCTCCAGGAAGTGGCCGTTCGGCCGTGCGGTCCCTCTGCGTAGCAAGAGAGCCGATGTTTATTCACCGGAGAATGACGTCGTAGTCCGACTCGGAGCGAAGCTAGATACCGTTCTGTCGTGTTGCGTTTCCTGCGACAACATCAACCTGGAATCAGGGACATCCGAGGATGGGAAGGCGTAGATACCTTTTGACGAACAAGGCCGTGGAGGGTGGAAGCACAGCCAGGAACACACGAAGCTTGTAGCAAACAGTAAGCGTTAGTTTGTGGATGCGGGGTGTCTACAAACATGGAATTGCCCCTTTCGAGGTCGAGGGGCGGGTATCGACTGCCCTTCAGCCAATTTTAGTAGGTCATTTTCGAGCTCTACAATGTACAATATGTAAATGTTTCCTACGCACGTTAGTCTCTTTTGTCCATGCGCAGAAGTACTCAGGAGTATTAATTCTTCTCTATGGTATGTAGGTGGTGCAAGGTGATGTGAAGTATGTAGTGTGGTGCACACTGCGGCATGGAAGAGTCCTATCCGAAGTGATATTCATTGTCAATGGGCAAGCGCTGACATCGATTGGGGTGGCACCGATTTGACAATTTTGATTCAGAGCAAGCGGCGAATCATGAACTCAAAGTTTCCTTCCACAAGGCGAGGAAGACTTTCGTTTGAAAGCGCCGACGACACCCAACGCTTCGGAAGTACCGGGTATAGACGCCGACGACACCCAGCAAATAGTCTACACGTATTCTACAAGGAGGCTGACGAGATCGCTGGTGATCATCCCTCCGCCCATGCATATTCGATCACGACGTTGGGGTGAATAAACGAAGTGCGGGAACCTAGTCTATGCTCGTAGCTCTACTTCAGAAGAAATCAACAACCATCGTCTGCAGGCCAGAACGGACATGTCTCGCATGCACGGAGGCTCCCCGTGTGCGGATAATAGGAAGGGTGCGTGAAGCTTGACGGTTCCCAACCCAACAATGACATACATACAAGCCCTAGGGTGTATGCAAGGAGCGCACAGAACCTTGCCTGCTGATGGAGACAGAAAGGAACGCTCACAACCTCGACAGTTGTTTAATGACCCCCCCGACTGTCGCCCGGAGGTCGAAATCTCGGCTAGATCTGGATAAATAAAAAAAAAGTATTAGTTGGACGGGACGGTTACAGCTCGGGGGGTCCGCAGAGGATACTATTTATGATACGTGTTTCACCAAAAAAAAAAGAAGGCAAAAATGCTCGCAGAAGACGGCGGTGTGCAACGCAAGCGATACATCACCCGCCGTCAATCCATAGCGACCTGCCGTCAATCCATAGCTCCCGTTCCGGAAGCAGCATAGTACGAGAGACAAAGGCGGAGAGCGCGCGCGAGAGAGAGCAGGTAAGCTTGATTGCAACGTCAACACATCGTCCCGTCACACCGCTTCTTTTGGTGCGCGGACCCCTTGAAAGGAACTGCAACAACTCTTCCAAGCAGCACGCGTACACACCTACGTACACCCATCCCACCCTCCGTCCCCCACACACACATCGTCAGGGGCAACCACACCACCAACACACCCAGTACCATGTCCGAGGAAGCCAAGACGAACGAGGTTGCCGTGTCCATGCCTAAGGCAGACATCCACGCCGACACCCAGCAGGAGGTGTCCAAGTTCGACCAGAGCAAGAACCCTATCCCGAAGGTTGTACCTCCCCGTGGGTCCAAGGATGCTCGCTCGTTCCGGCCGTCTACCCTGGCGGAGATCAACATGATGAACCGCTACGAGCCGCTGGAGCTCAAGTGCGGCGGCAAGACGTTCGGCATCGGCTGCGGGAACTCGCTGGAGGACGTGCTGCTCATCATGGGGTGCATCCTCGCGCTCTGGTCGTTCGTGCTCGGAGTGTCCGGGCTGCTGCTCAAGTCGGCGATCGACACAGACCTGTACGTGTCCCTCCTGATTTTTGGTATCATAGATTGCAGTTGGTTGACTATACTTTTCAGACCCTTCAAAACCAACACTGCCGCTGTCTGCTGTCATGTCCTGGCCTCTGCATTCCTTGCCGCGAGCACGCCTATGAGTTTGTTGGCAACCCCTGCATTCGAGTTGCCTTCGTTGTGGTGCTATTGGGTGGGGAAGCCACCTAGATGCCGCCGTGGCAGTTATTTTTTACTTCATGCCACGGAATTGCGCCACAAGCTCGTGTGTACAGAGGTTCGACCAACACTGGCACTCGACGCTTCTGCTGCACCTTCGGTCATGTACCTTTGGCCAGATTTTTGTTTTTTCGCACACTTTTGGGCAAAGAGATGGAGAGCGCGCCGGGGGTGTTGCCTGTTGATGGCAATCGTAGCGCGCTCCCTAAACACAAACAGCTGCTGCGACTCTAGCTTGCCTCTACTTTCAGCTCACGCTCGGAACTCGTATTTGCAGCAGTACGGCGGAACGGCGCAATAGACCTACAACCATACATGTAGACCTATTTTGCCGTTAGCTGGTAAATAGAAGTGTTTCGCTTTTTTCTGAAAGGCGTTTGTGCACCTGTGTAGTTGTCTGCATGGGGAGGGAAAGCGAGCAGGCCGCACGTACGACACGCACCATTACATTCTGTTTTGGTCCTTCGATACACCAAATACTCCGGTTGTAGTCATCGTGCGTCGTGTGCTTTTGAGTACGTGCTGTGCGCGGTTCGGGGATGCACGGCTGCTGTAGGGCTCTGCGGCCTCCTGATCCGCAACAACAGCTGAAACCAGCACTAGTTAACCTCTGGGCAAGCCCGGTTTGCAAACCACACCAACGCACATGGTTTGCAAACCACGCCAACGCACATGTGTCCAAAATTTATACTTCAAAGAATCGACTCATGTCTGACGTCCGGTGCCGACTATTTCCGTCAGCATCAACAAATTTCGAGACACAACATGAGCAGAGCTTTGCACCCGCGGTACAAGTAGATGGAGCCTCGCCAGCTGCCATACCCTTATATTATATACTTCGTACATCCGTTTTGTTGGCTGCTGAGAGAGGCAGAAGTGTTTCTGGTATATTGTTTTAGAACCATGTTCCAGACCCGGTGGTGTCTAACGTAAGATTGCGAGTCATGCAACGGTCCGGAGTTACGGCAGAGTCCCGGAGTGAGCGCACTCCCGTGTGATCAAATTTAATTGACTATTTTTTTTTATTTTTCGCACACGGGTCCGGAGTCATTGCACTCGCAACCTACAGGGTAGTTGGGTGCCAATGTGTCCCGGCCGGCGCTGGCATGGCATTTAGCTCCGCTGTACAATAGAAGTTTACAGCATCGTAGCAAACCCCTATGTGGACGTGTGAAGGAGATGCAAAAACACTGTTTTGACGTTGATATTTCATCGAATGGGTAAACTTGGTCCACTCGACCAAAACACGAGAACGTGAACAAGATAGCTACCCTCGGACACGATTGTCAAGTGTTGTGTGTCACGTGTTCGCACAACTCGATGGCGGAAATTCGTTTCCGCGGGCGGCGGGCGGGATCCTTATTTCGCCGCGTTACATTTGGTGTGTGTGCGTCTGCGTGTGGAGCCTGAAACCGCAGCGCACCCGAGGAATCCGTATGCACTCGTCTGCAAAGGTTTATTCGAGTCCGCACATATCAGCAGTTGTTTGTGTCGCATCATTGGACAAGCGGAGCTGCTCTCAAACCAAATCCTAGCCTATTCCCTTTGCTCCGCGACCTTGGTTGTCCTCTCTTTCCTCTCCCCTTTCTTCTCTCCCCTTTACCGGCGTCTTGGCTAGATGATTTCACTTTGTTTCAGAGTGCATAGTCTCCATGACGTGTTATGTCGCTCTTTTTTGTGCTGCTTTCCCCTCCTGTATGCCCTCATCCTGCCCACACCACCCAACACAAACTCCCCCCCCCCCCCCCCCCCGCGGGACCTGGCATGGGCCTCCCTTCTTTACCAAAACCCGGGAAAAGGGGGGAAAAAAAAAGGGGCCCAACCCCCACCCTGGGGGTACTTTTGGGTGTTCCTCCCCCGCTGGTTTTTTGTGGGGGGGCATGAATCCCCCCGGGGGAGGGGAGGGGCTTCCCCTACGAGGGGGCGGGGGCCCAAAAATGAACGCCCAAAAATAAGCCGGGGCGGGCAAATCCCCC